TTTGATTCTCTGATTTGGGTCATAGTAGAGAGGACTTGCTCGTGGGGTTGACCCACCATTGTTGTTATTTCAGGATACGGTCAGTACCCGTTCCAAGGTTGAGGTTAGCAGTGTGGGACCACCATCCGAACTCATCTACTCTTACGATCCAGTTCAGGGTAGAAATTTTATGTATTACTTCAGTTTCAGTTTTTATTTACTTTTGACGTTGAACTCTCAGGTTTATATTTAGGGATTCTCGACATAGGATTTCCAAGTTGTAATGGAGTACTGTATTAAATAAAGGATGGATGGATGTTGTATTATTTAGTGTTCCTTTCCTGTCTAAATTCTTTTATTATCATCATTTTGTATTCCATGCTTGTATATTGCCAATTGTTTTTGATATCCCTCGTTTTTTGTGTATAAGCCTGATCAACTTATGCGTGGAAAATGTTGGGGGTGTTACAGGAGGCCCTTAAGGCTGAACGGGACTCTCTTCAGGATGAAGTTGATGTCCTGAAGACAGAGAAGAACGTCGCCCTGACTGAAAGGGACTCACTGAGGGCTGAGAAGGGAGACCTTCAGCATACACTTATTGCTGACCGGTTGTCTCATGCTAACTCAAAGGAGAATCTTTTAAGTGAACGCTCTTCTTTGCTGAATATGATTAGCAAAGTTGAGGGAGGCATGAGAGCTCTCTTTGCCCGCTTCACCAGAACCAGTGCCCTCAGGTATGCTGAAGGGTACAGAGACGGCTTTATTGACCGTTTTGCCCCTGAGGATGAATCTAGCTCCTGTGCTGGTCCGGATGAGTTGGACGCCTCTTTGGACATTCATCCACCAAACAACTACCAGAATCCACCCTGCGACCCTGCTGAGAATATCTTTATCGAATGTAGAGAGGTTGCAGCCTCAGCAGTTGTTCCACCCTTCCATCCTTGAAACGTTCCTCCAATTACTACTATCATGCCCTCCACTTTAGTTGCCTCTGACAGACTCATGTTAACTGAAGGGGTGATTCGTCTTGATTCTCCCTCCAAGGATGGTGGTGTAGCTAAGAATGGAGAGGACCACAATGGGCCAGAGGGTAATGATGGGGAGAACAACGAGTCACAGCTTGGAGAAGATCGTGAAAACTAACATTCTGCAATCTTTTGCATCAGTTTTTTTTTTTTTTTTTTTAAATGTATCTTCATGTATCCTCAGAACATCAAGCCATGTACTTCAGGATTGTTTTGTAATGAAAGAATAGGGAATGATAATACTTATTGTTAGCAAAACTTTCATTCTTCAAGTTTCAATTTTCAATCTTTTAAACTTCAATTTTCAATATTTTAAACTTTAATTTTCATAAGTGTTTGGCATTCGGCTTGTAGTGCCAGCTGCCACTGACATTGTTAAGTGTCTGGCGCTCGGCTGAAATGCCACTTGCCACTCGGCATTGGTTTATTTTTGAGCAAATGTTTGGCTTTCGGCTTGTAGTGCCAGCTGCCACTGACTTTGCTAAGTGGCTGGCACTCGGCTAGAATGCCTCTTGCCACTCGACATTGGCTTATTTTGAGTAAATGTTTGGTGTTCGGCTTATAGTGCCAGCTGCTACTGACTTTGCTAAGTGCCTGGCGCTCGGCTAGAATGCCACTTACCACTCGGCATTGGCTTATTTTGAGCAAGTGTTTGGCGTTCGGCTTGTAGTGCCAGCTGCCACTGATTTTACTAAGTGCCTGGCGCTCGGCTAGAATGCCTTTTACCACTAGGCATTGGCTTATTTTGAGCAAGTGTTTAGCGTTCGGCTTGTAGTGCCAGCTGCCACTGACTTTGCTCGGCTAGAATGCCACTTGCCACTCTGCATTGGTTTATTTTGAGCAAGTGTTTGGCGTTCGGCTTGTAATGCCAGCTGCCACTGACTTTGCTAAATGCCTGACGCTCGGCTAGAATACCTCTTGCTACTCAGCATTGGCTTATTTTGAGCAAGTATTTAGCGTTCGGCTTGTAGAGCCAGATACCACTGACTTTGCTAAGTGCCTGACGCTCGGCTAGAATGCCACTTGCCACTCGGCATTGGTTTATTTTAAGCAAGTGTTTAGCGTTCAACTTGTAGTGCCAGCTGCCACTGACTTTGTTACGTGGGAAGAATGTCAATTCATTTTTAAACAAAGTAAACTTCTTTCATAAAACTTGAAAGTTTCGTACACTTGCAAGTATGCAATTCAAAACGAGCATATTGTTTGGAATTAAACTCTATTTCTACTGGTAGTACCTTTTCAGAGACGTTGCATTCCATGGTTTACTGACCAACCTTCCTTCCGTGGTCTCCAGGACGTATGCCCCCTTTCCTATGACTTCTACAATTCTGTATGGACCTTCCCACGGCGAAAACATCTTTTTGACTATACCCACCTTCCTTTTCAGATCCAGATCGCCAAGGGCGAAGTCTCTGTGTTTCACCCTCTTATTATGGCTATTTACGAGCGTCTGTTGATAAGAAGCAAGTCTTATTACAGCTGCATCCCTTTTCTCCTCCAGCAGATCAAGATTAAACCTTAACATTCTATCATTCTGCTCTTGATTCCACGCCAAGCTTCTAACGGTTGGAACTAAGTGTTCGACTGGTATCACTGCCTCGGTGTTGTACGCCATAGCGAATGGGCTCTCCCTGGTCGGCCGTCTTGGGGTTGTTCTGTAAGCTCACAAGATGTTCGGAAGCTCATCTAACCATTTTCCTTTTTCATTTTCGAGCTTCTTCTAAATGCAGGTAAATATTATCCTGTTCGTGATCTCAGCTTGACCATTAGCCTGGGGATGACTGACTGCTGCCAACTTCTGATTAATTCCATATTCTTCCAGCAGTTCCTTCACTTGCTTGCTATCGAGATTGGTTTCATTATCCATAACGATCGACCTTGGTACGCCAAAACGACAGATAATATTATTCCAGATGAAGCGTCTTACTTGAGTTTGGGTGACACTAGGGTAAGGCTCTGCCTCCACCCATTTGGTGAAGTAATCAGTTGCTAGTAGAACGTACTTGTTCTGCAATCTTGCGGTCGGTAGAGGGCCAACCACATCTATCCCCCACTACGCGAAAGGCCATGGCGTGGCCATTACGTGCAAGTCTTCAGGTGGTTGGTGTATCAATGGTCCGAACCTTTGGCATTTATCGCATCTTCTAGAGAATTCTTCTGCATCCCGTGCCATGTTTGGCCAAAAGTACCCTTGTGTCATTGTTTTATGTGCCAAAGATCTTCTTCCTGAATGATTTCCGCATACACCTTCATAAATGGTTCCTATGATCTATCTAACCTCTGTTGGGGTAACACACTTCAAGTATGGACCCAAAAAAGACCGTGTGTACAACTGATCACGCACAATAACATATTTTGCAGCGTTAGACTTGATTTTTCTTGCTTCATCTTTCTGTTTGGGTAGTACACCATCATGTACGAAAGCCATGATCGGATCAATCCAGCTCAGCTCATAGGGTATAACATTAACTTGCTGAGCACTCGGATCGAGTTGCTCATAAAAAATGGACGGCTGGATCAACACGTCAATCGGGATGACATTAGCCAGTGTTTCTCCAGAACTGGATGCACTACCGGCCAAACGATCGGCATCTTCATTATACTCCCTCGGTAACTAAATGAACCTGATCTGATCAAAATCTTTCGCCTCACGTAGAACCGCGGTTCGGTATGCTTCCATAGTCTCATCTTTGGTTCCATATTCTCAAGTTACTTGCCGAACGATTAGCTGTGAATTGCTATAAGTAATTAGATTCTTGATCTTCAGCTCTTTAGCCAACTTCAACCCAGCTAATAATGCCTTGTATTCAGCCTCGTTGTTGGTTGCTTTGAACTCAAGTCTGATCGCTTTGCTCAGCGTGGTGCCCTCCGGTGTTTGCAATTTGATTCCAATTCCTGCCCCCATTTGATTTGAAGAACCATCTACAAAGAGCTTCCATAAGGAACAACTATAATCTTCCTCCAAGTCTTCAACATCATATTCAAGTAGGAAATCAGCCACCGCTTGACCTTTGATTGCTGTTCTAGGTTCATATGTAATATCAAACGAGCTCAACTCAATCGCTCATTTTGTCACTCTTCCTGATAGGTCTGGCTTATGCAAGATCATCCTTATAGGAAAAGTAGTTAAGACGACAATCGGATGGGATTCGAAATAATGCCTGAGCTTCCTTTTCGCATTGACCAATGACAAGATCATCCGTTCAGCCTTTAAGTACCTTCTTTCCGGCTCGACCATTGTTTTGCTGACATAAAACATTGGGAATTGCTTTCCGTCTTTGCAACGAATCAGAACGGCACTTATAGTGATGCTGGATACCCCAAGGTACACAAAGAGCTTTTCATTTGGCACGGGAGCAGATAGAACGGAGGGTTTCGCATGTAATCTTTCAGGCTGGTTAATGCCTGTCGTTGTTCATCCCCCCAGGCTTGCCGTCCATGGCTTCGAATTGTGTCAAAAAATGGTTTACAACGGTCTAAGAGCTTGGAAATGAATCGACTCAGTGTAGCTATTCGACCTGTGAGTGCCTGCACTTCCTTAATTGTCTTTGGTTCTGCATTTCTGATCAGAGCTTCTGCCTGGGCTGGGCTAGCCTCAATTCCTCTATGATTGACCACATGTCCCAAGAATTGACCAGAGCTCACGCCGAATGAGCATTTGGTCTGATTAAGCTGCATTCCGTACTTCCTCAACATATCGAACACATCCTGTAAGTGCTCTAAGTGATCATCCTTCTTCTTACACTTGACCACCATATCATCAATGTAAGCCTCTACAGTTCTCCCCATTTGGCTTTTGAAAATCTTGCTGATCAGCCTCTGATAAGTAGTTCCAACATTCTTTAATCCGAACGGCATGACTTTGTAGCAGTAGGTCCCTCGTTCAGTAACAAAATAAGTTTTCTCTTCATCAACTGGGTCCATGGGGATTTGATTATAACCAGAATAAGCATCTAGGAAGGTTAGTCGCTCGTACCCAGTGGTGGCATCCACCATTTAATCAATCTGTGGCAATGAGAAACTATCATTTGGGCAAGCTTTGTTCAGATTAGTGAAGTTAATACATACTCTCCATTTCCCATTCTTTTTCTGCACAACAACGACATTGGAGAGCCAGGCTAGGTACTGAACCTCTCTAATGAATCCTGCCTCGAGCAACCGATCAATTTCCTCAACTATGATTCGATTGCGTTCTAGAGCAAATCTTCTCTGCTTTTGCTTCATAGGTTTTACGTTCGGATCTACATTAAGGGAATGACAGGACACAGAAGGACTAATCCCTGGCATATCTGAATGGCTCCATGCGAATACATATGCATTCCGAGTCAAGAAGTCAATCAACCCTAGTTTTTCTTCTTCAGTAAGTCTGGATCCCACCCTCGTTGTTCGGTTCGGCTTCTTATAGTCGATCTACACATCAAGAAGAGGTTCTGCGGTCAGAACTAGCAGATCCTCCTCCCCACTTTTGCTAGGTGGAGGTTCCTGTAATTGCTATCTTGGACTGGTAGAACGGATGGGATTTTTCCCCTTTCCAGCAGATTTCAAAGTCACTGAATAACATTTTTTAGCTACAACCTGGTCCTCATGAATGTCAATCACCTTGGTCCCATCCGGACCCAAGTATCGCATCGCTTGATGTAGGGTTGATGGGACACCCTGAACTCTGTGAATCCACCCTCTTCCCATCAAGAGGTTGTAGGATGGATGAATTTCTATGACCACAAAACTCTCACTCAAGACTCTCTCAGTAACTTGTACTATCAATTCCACCATTCCAATGGGCTCCACCCGCTTCCCATCAAATCTTAGCAATGGATTTCCTGTGGGTTTAAGTTTCTCGGGTTCGATCTTGAGGCGGTCGAACGTTAATCTGGGCATGACGTTTGCACTACTTCCTGGGTCAATCAGAACTCTTCGTACTAGGTATTCTGCAATTGTCAGACTGACGACCAATGGATTTTCATAAGGAACCTGAACGCATAACAGGTCTGTTCTGTCAAACTTTATCTGTGATGATGCGTTCTGTTGATGCAAAGCACGTATACTGCCAATCCTTCTCTTCAACTAGGCCTGACGTAATCGCGTTCTGAGCAACTCCTCTGACTCTGCTGTCTGTTCAGGTCGGCCATGAATTGCATTTATAATCCGAACAGACTGAGTGTTATGGTGGTTCGGCTTTTGATTTCTCTTGATCTGTTCAGCCGGTTGGTTCTGCTCTTACGCCAGACCTTGAACATATCCTGCAAATTCCCCCGTTGCGATCAGCATCTCCACTTGTCTCCTTAGGCTCCTGCATTCATTAATCTGATGTCCAAAATCACTATGGAAAGCACAATGTTTAGTTTGATCCCTCTGTTCAAGAGGTTGTCTGATTGGTAAGGGAGGGCGAAACTTATCTTTGTTCTCTTGATACAACCTTGCCAAGGTAACTCTGAGTGAAGTAACCAACTCCTCATCTCGGACCTTTTCTCTGCCTTCCAGGAGGTCTGACGTTGTGGTTGAGCTTATTTTTGCCGGATCTTGGCTTTGGACTTCTCTTCTGTCGAAATAATTGACGTATTCCTTGCGTTAGCTGCCTCTTCTTCTTCCAGATGCACAAAACTGTCAGCTCTCTTGTTCAGCTCGTCCATGGTCTTCGGCGTATTCACCACCAAGCTTGTGTGGAACGGTGTCCCTCGGTTCATTGCAAGTTTAAACGCTTGGACCGCTATGGATGAATGACATTCCATTACCATGCTTTTAACAAGGTTGAACTGGGTGAGGAAAGCTTGGAGTCGTTCATCCTCGTGTTGCTTCATTGTGAAAAGGCTTGATACATCCTTAGTCGGGCGTTTATTCCCATAGTACTGGCTTATGAACTTGTCACACAAGTCCTGGAAACTAGCAATTGAGCCTTAAGCCAAATTCTTAAGCCAATTGAGGGCTGGTCTAGCCAAACTTGTAGGGAAACACTTGCACATCAAAGGATCATTGTTAGTAGTCAAAGCCATTTTTAACTGAATGTGGTAGATGTGGTCAACCGGGTTGGTTGTTCCATCAAACAGAATGAAGATCGGCATGAAAAACTTCTTCGGATTCGGTGCGTTCAGGATTTCACCAGTGAACGGAGATGCTACCGTCCTTGCTGATGAGCGCAATGCTTTGTTCTCCCTTGAAAACCGTAATGGAACTCCCTGATCGACAGATCTCCTCTCTAAACTGCGGTAGTCAAATGTTGCCATTAAAGGTCGATAGGGTGGATTAAACGATTTGTCCTGCGCAAACTCACTTTGCCACGGTGATGCAACCCTATGATCGTACGCCGGCGCTTCCTCTCGCATGATCCGTTCGCGGTGTGGCTCCAAATGAATAGATCCCTCTCGATCCTCTACTTGACAAACATTTGGAGGTAGATTGTCTACTAGAACTTCATCACGACGTGGATCTACGCGATTGACACCTTCTGGATCACCTTGACGAATAACATTGAACTGTAAGACTCCCTCTCCTTCCAGAGGTGGCCTCGGAATCGTAGGAGCCTCACGACGCTCCATTCGAGTGCGCAACTCTACATTTTCTTTTCTCAAGGCTTCGATCATGTTCATCAACTCATCGAGCTTCGACTGCTGGCCATTCTCCATGGGATTTGAGCTCTCTTCTCAGATCATCATTCCTGATCGGAACAGAGTTATTAACCGTGGATTTCTTGATCAGATCTGAGCTGTGCTAATGCAAACGCATCAGATCTGGACTCAAACTTGTTGAATTATGTTCGCTACTGGCCGAATTTGAGTTATTTCAGCTACAAGCTCATATAATTCAGCAATCTTGACAAGTCGCAACTGCGCGGCTAGCCGGAACAAGCATAGATCAAATCTGCGTAGATCGGACGCCAACCCCTCGAAATCAACTAGAACCGAGATTCATCAAGACATATCACATTTCCATCAACATTGACTCAGCTTTCAGAGATCAAGTGTCTTCTTCGTAAAGTGCTTTGAATCAAATCGATCTGGATCAACACCAATCAATCCTCGTCGTTCTTCCCACAGACAGCGCCAATTGAAAGTACAAAGAATTTTCCTCAATTGTAGAGAGAGAAACTTTACACTTCCAAAAATTTTCCAACCACTTTTACCTCTCATTTCCGTCTATTTATAGACGGTTACAACCACTTAGACGGTTATAACCACTCCTGAGCTGAACCTATCTTCTTCCATTTTGTTTGGGCTCAACTTCTTTCATCATAATATGGGCTTCCGTAATGACTTCCTGGACCTGGGCCCATTCAGCGAGGACTTGCTCCATCCTGGCTACCCATACCCGACCCGTTCCTAGCAATATGAATCATATCAAGCCCGGATCATTTTTGGTGTCTTCATATATGTTCTGAAAAATTTCTAACATTCAATTTTTGAGCAAACAAGGGTCTTAAATGTGAAATGATTAAAATGTCGCCTTTTTTTCTTCTTCTTGTTATATATAAGAACATTATTGGAAGAGAAAATGGTATTTTTGAAATTTTATATCTTAAAAATATAACCTCGAGCCTTTCTTTGATCATTTTTCAAACTTAACACACTTATATACGTACCCAAAAAAACTTTAGGAGTGATATTTGCCCAAATTTAGACATTAGAGGTGTTTTTCTCACTTTGTCCTTTTTCTTTTTTAGAGTACAGCTATGGTTGAACTCCTTGTTAAAGTATTTCTCAATTTCATCATAGTGCTTTATTTGAGGTGGGAGTTATGAAGAGCTTGAGGTGGGAGCTATGGTGGAGGACGCGAAGACATAGTCTAATCACGTGTTGATTGGGTGTTTATGTTGGCTATTGCAAAAGTTGAACCGATCTATGTGTGACATCGACTTTTGGCTACTATGAAACTTCACCTGGTTCAAGTTAGACAGTGATTTGCACCACGTAAGTACACAACAAGTTGAACTGGTTCAATACCCTCTTGGGAAGTTACGTGAATTGATTTCCTAATCAATTTTGAAAACCAGAAAACTTTGGAAAGGATTGAAGATTTGGGGAAGAAATTGTACCTACTATTTTAAAGTTGGAATTAATGTAGTAACTCCTTATAGGTAAATTGGGGAATACTTGTCTAATAAAGAAATGGGTTTGAAAATCCTATAAATAGAGATGGCTGAGAGGTGTAGAGAGAGAGAAAGTGAATAGAGAAAAGATGTTAGGGGTTTATGGGTGAATACTGTTGTGATGAGAGGGGAGAATATACATGAGATGATGAATGAATGATTGGGGTTTTTACATGTGATTGTATATTCGCTTTCTTAATTCATAATAGTAAAATTTCTCTCTCCATGGACGCAGTCAAAGAATTGGGTGAATCCTGTAAAATATTGTGTTGTGCGTGAATGTTATCTATATATATGTGTCTGTGTGTGTGTGTTAATATGATGTGATGTGATGTTACTTTCGCTGTATGTAATGAATGAAGAATTTAATTCTCAACGAATGAAGAATTTAATTCTCAACAATAACCAACTGTTGAGTACATTATAGAGAGTTAATTTTCTCCAACACTCTCATGACCGGTCGACAAACAAATGGATTAAAGGGTTTTAACCTATGAAATGATGAATGCAAAAATTTAAAGAAAAAAAAGTCAACTTGTATTATTGATAAGAAATGCCTAATCGCAAAACCTTAAGCAAACAGAATGTCGGAAAGTAGTGTTTTTATGTCATAGCCTCTTGACTGTGCTTTTAACTATTTATAGCTATAATTAACAATACAACTTTGGCAACATAATGACCCTTTTTATATGTTGATGTGTGTGTACACTTTGTTTTGAGTTCCCATTGGATCCAACGACTCTAATTAACACACAAGTGTGAGATTTTCTTTGTGGAAAGAGAAAGAAAGACAACAAGAAAACATCTTCATTTTCTGTGTCCATCTTTTCTTCTCTGTTTCTAATCTTTATATAATCAGAATCAGACACCAAATCTTCTTTTCGTTATGAATGTAATCTATATTTACTATTTTACATATATATGTGTGTGTGGGGGGTCAACTTGAAAAGACATTTGTGTTTATGCAGATTGGTCAAAATTCATCAGCTTGTTTGAGCAATTGGTTCAGCCATCTCCAACTTTAGTGGTACTATGCATTAGGGTTTAAAAAGTACAGTGCCATTTACTTTCACATGCATCAGAAATTTGCAAATCTTCTAGTATCATCAATATGTTCTTCAGACTCTGAAAAGTTCTAAGTTAGACCTCATATGGGATGGGAACTTCTCACAAGAGCCGTATTTTGCAAATTTCACCTTTATATATATATATATATATATATATACATTTATTATATTTGTGCACACAACGTGCAACAAAATATTGAATATGGAATTTTTGGATGTTGACCTTTTATTTGTTTGGCATGCATGGAAAGCATGGAGTGACATTGAATCCAAAAATCTTGTGAAGTGATTTTTTTTTTTTTTTTTCTTTCCCCACCTTTTTATTATTATTTTTTTAAAAATAAAATTCTTTCCCCACATAGAAAAACTTACTCATACACACTCAAACATTGCATTTAGTGAAAATATTATATTTAACTTTTTAAAATTATTTTTAATAATTTTATTTCATAATAATTTAAGTAGTCCTTTGTGTCTTTTGCCTTTTATGGAAACTAATAGTATTAGATGGAGAGAGAGAATAAGAGATGGATGAGACATCCCTAGAAAAGATATTGTACTCGGTTGAATGAAAGAGATGATAAAAATATCGCAACTTAGTGTGTTGGTTAAGAGATACCGAAAGATAGAGTTGTAAATTATTTTTACTGTATATTATATTCATCACTGTCATATCTATAGTATTCTAATTTATGAATAACGGTATTATGATTTAAAACTTTTATAACAGCCCCACCTTCACTCCTTTTTTCCACCGATATTGAAGAGATAAAAATTTGTAAAGGAAGAAGGATGTCTCGTCCATCCTATCATCATTTCTCTCCTTGTTTTCTCTCTAACAAGTAAAGAAAATTTGTTTATTTCTTTCTATTTTCTTTTCATTTTACTTTTATCTTATTTTTTCATTAGTCTGTGTCACTCCTACTATCTGCTTTAACATTCTCATTTCAAACACCCGTTCTCTATATTTTTATTTTTCAATATAAACACTGTACTCCATATAGAATAGTTGATCCAATTTATACAAAAAGTCAATTCAATTTCATCTTTGTTATAATATGTACACACGGGACAACCACAGTGGGATCAAAATATGGTCACACCCATAAGAAATAAATCTTGGAGTCACGCCCATCACACACACCCTTTGTCGGTTGGTGAAACGATGGGCCCAATGCGCCATGCAAAATTGGGCTCCCAACACCAATAAAAGCATGATTTGCATAAGTATGTGCGGCCATGATCTGACCAGAGCCACGTGGCTCATGATAAAGGCTGTTGATCCCACCCGATCATGATTATAAAAATTGGGTGTGTGAGGAGGCCCATACACACTTCACATGTTGCACCACTTGATTGTTCAAAGTCAATATTGCAATTTACATGTTTACTATGTCAGTCGATTGGGTTTTTTTAGTTCATATTCGTTGAAACCGAAAGTTGATCTGGTGGAAAGCACCCACGGTCGGTGGCTGCAGTGTGGACACGTGGCCGTCGAATCGGCCATTGGATATGATTACTTGGTCAATGCATGATAAGATGGTTGTACTAAAAAGTTTTTGATTGGCATTGATCAAGCATGATTTGGTGGCTATTGCATTGATCTTGTTACAATATCCAAATCAGACTTGATTTATTCACATATAATATT